TAGCCCCCACCGCTGCGGCCCGTCGGGGACAATTAGCTCCCTCGCAGCTTGGCAATCTGTGCGCAGCTAATCTGTGCCGCCGCCAGGTTACGCGGGCACCAACCGGAGAGGAGCGCTAATGGGGAGATAATTGGCGCCAGCAATTACGGGCTCGTTTAGCGTAATTACCACCGAGCGGCACCTTGTCACGGAGACCCGAGGGGGGGCTCTGCCCGTGCCGCCGGGACCCGGGCTCCGGGCTCCAGCAGGTGCTGGGCAGCTGGACCTGCCCCTGCCCCGGCCGGGCCCTGGTATCGCGGGGGCCAAAGGAGCTGCGGGACCCGGGGCAGGGGCTGCAGGTGAAGCTGGGGCCACAGGGCCCAGCCTCCCTCGTGGCGGCTGCAGTTTCACCGCCTCTAACTTTCACCGTGGACAGAAAGAATCGACCAGCTGCACAGACACGGCCCCACGTGCGGCACAGGGGGCTGGAGCTGGGACTGGCCAGGGCCAGGGCAGGCGGGCGGGCGGTGCTGGCGTCTGGGTCTCAGGGCTGGGGAGCCACATGTCTTGCCTGTTCCCTGCCTGGGAGCGACCCTGGTGCCCAGGCGGGACCTGGGGGGCCTCAGGCGCCTGGTGCTTGCTCTAGAGTCTGGGGCAGCGAGAGATTTGGGGGTGGGTGTGTGCTGGGAGCCCAGGGCTGGGCTTGGGGTCACCGGGTTTCAGGAGTGAGGGGCACCGGCAGGGTGCAATGGGGGCTGCGGGTTGGGGGTGAGGGTCACCAGTCAGGCTGTTGGGGCTGTGGGTTGGGAGCAAGGGGTGTCCTGCCAGGCTCTCCCCCGCCTGCTCCTGCTCCTGCTCCTGCTCCTGCTCCTGCTCCTGCCCCAGCCATATTAATGGGAAAATAAGAACAGATTGTGCCGAGTGCTTCCCGCTGCCGGGGTCGCCATGGCAACGTGCAGCAAATTAGCAGTGAAGACGCAGCACCCGGTGCTCCCCTCCGCCACGGCCTGGCAGCGCGCGAGCCCGGGGCTGGGGTCGGGTGGCCACAGGGCCAGGCCGGACCGGGCAGGGCAGGGCTGAGTGCTCGCCCCAGCATGTAGGGGCAGGTGGTGAGGCCCCGGGGCCAGGGCTGGGCCTGACCCACGGCCCCGTGCGGCCGCACTCCCCAGGGATCCCGGCCCCTCCAGTGGCTCGGCCCCGTGGCCTGGGCAGGGGGAGCCACGGCTCCTCGTCCCGGCCCTGTGCGGTGCCCACTGCTGCCAGGGCCCTGCACCGGGAGGGGACCAAAGGATCCCTTGTGCCAATACCAAATGCGCTGCAGCACATCCAGCCCTGCCCTGCCCAGCCCAGCCCAGCCTTGGCCCAGGTGGCACCGGCCTTGGGCAGTGCCAGGATCGGGGCCTGGGCTGGCAGGTGCGCTGCGGAAGGGCTTGCTGCCACCTGGTGGCTGTGGGCCGGCACTGCGCGCCCTGCTCGTGGCCCCGCTCCTGCCCCGGGGGGTCCCCCCGCCTGGGACCCCAGACCCCGGGGAAGCAGGCCACGCACTGCCCGTGTCCTGTGCCCGCAGCTTACGTGCTGAGCTGCCGCTTCCCCTCACGCCCGGCCTATGGGGACGTCTCGGTCACCAGCCTGCACCCGGGCGGCGATGCCTACTTCTCCTGTGCCGCCGGCTACCAGCTGCAGGGCCCCCGCGCCCTCCCCTGCCTCAACGCCACCCGCCCCTTCTGGAGTGGCAGGGAGCCCCTCTGCGTGGGTGAGTCTGGGCGCCGGACGGGGGACCCAAAGGCTGCCCCGTGGCCTGGGTGCCCGTGGCGCCAGGGCGGGGGCAGTGGGGGTGTTGGGTCCAGCCCCCCAGCGGCACGTCCCGTTGCAGCGGCCTGCGGGGGTGTGATCCGGAACGCCTCCCTGGGGCGCGTCGTCTCGCCCGGCTTCCCCGGGACCTACAGCAACAACCTGACCTGCCACTGGCTGCTGGAGGCACCGCCCGGGCAGCGCCTGCACCTGCACTTCGAGAAGGTCTCGCTGGCCGAGGATGATGACCGGTGTGTGGTGGGGCCCTGGGTGCAGGGACCGGGGATGCCCTTCTGCCCCAGACAGGCCCCACTCCCCTCCCAGAGCTGGGAGAGCCCAGGTGTCTGGGCACCCGCAGAGCCGGGGTGGAGGTTGCCCCTGCCGTGGTCCCCGTGTCCTGACCCGGCGTGGCCTGCAGGCTCATCATCCGCAACGGGAACGGCGTGGAGGCACCGCCGGTGTACGACTCGTACGAGGTGGAGTACCTGCCCATCGAGGGGCTGCTCAGCGCCGCCCGCCACTTCTTCGAGGAGCTCACGACCGACAGCAGTGGTGCGGCCGCCGGCGTGGCCCTGCGCTACGAGGGTGAGCCCAGGCCCCCCCATCCCTGCCTGCTGCCTACAAACTCATCGGGGGGGCAGCAGGGAATAGGGGACACTCTGCTTACCAGGGCACCCCTCGGGGTTACCAGAAATAATGGCCACAAACTGCAGGAGAGCAGATTTAGATTGGACATAAGGAAGAAATTCTTTATGGGAAGAGTTGCCAAACTGTGGAACGGGCTTCCACGGGAGGTGGTGCTTTCCCCTACCTGGGAGGTGTTCACGAGGAGATTAGACAGGCATCTGGCTGGGGTTACTTAACCCCAGCGCTCTTTACTGCCTGGAGCACGGGGTCGGACCCGAGGATCCAGCAGGTCCCTCCCGACCCTGGAAATCTATGAATCCCGCCGTGCCCCTCGTCAGCACAGCTCGCTCCCCCGCAGCCTTCCAGCCCGGGCACTGCTACGAGCCCTTCGTCAAGTACGGCAACTTCACCACCAGCGACGCGGCCTACGCGCTGGGCGCCACCGTGGAGTTCAGCTGCGACCCCGGCTACACGCTGGAGCAGGGCTCCGTGGTCATCGAGTGCGTGGACCCCACCGACCCGCAGTGGAACGAGACGGAGCCGGCCTGCCGAGGTCTGCACCACGGGGAGGTGGGGAGGGGAGGAGTGCAGCCCCAGGGTGCCCCGAGCTGGCGGCACCCCTGGGGCTTAGCGCTGCCATGTCGCCCACAGCTGTGTGCAGCGGGGAGATCACGGACTCGGCCGGCGTCGTCCTGTCACCCAACTGGCCGGAGGCCTACGGCAAGGGCCAGGACTGCATTTGGGGGCTGCACGTGGAGCAGGACAAGCGCGTCATGCTGGACATCCGTGTGTGAGTGCGGCGGGCTCTGGGGCAGGGGCACCGGGGGTCCACTGGGCAGCCCTGGGGCTGCTGGAGTGGGGGGAACCCTGCATGGCCCCCCAGCTGTGACCTTTGCATCTTGCCGCCTGCCCCCCCAGGCTGCATGTGGGCACAGGCGATGTGCTGACCTTCTACGACGGGGACGACCTGACCGCCCGCATCCTGGGCCAGTTCACGGGTGCACGCAGCCGCTTCAAGCTCTACACCTCCACGGCCGACGTCACCATCCAGTTCCAGTCCGACCCCGGCAGCTCTGTCTCCGGCTACCAGCAAGGCTTCGTCATCCACTTCTATGGTGAGTGCGCCCGCCTGAGCCCCCTGCCTCCAGCCCAGGGTCCCAGCCAGCTCGGCCTGGTGTCCCGGCCCCTAGCTCCCACCCCCCAGGCTCCACTCCCCTCCCCTCGCTGAGCTGGGCTGGAACCAGGCATCCTGGCCCCAGCCCCTGTTAGACCCCCTACTCGGCCCTGGCCCCGGCCCCGGCCCCGTGCTGGCCTATCTCACCCACGCTCCCTGCAGAGGTGCCGCGCAACGACACGTGCCCCGAGCTGCCCGAGATCCCCAATGGCTGGAAGACCACATCTCACCCCGAGCTGATCCACGGCACCGTGGTGACCTACCACTGCTACCCGGGCTATGAGATTGTGGGCACCGACTTGCTCATGTGCCACTGGGACCTCACCTGGAGTGGAGACCTGCCCACCTGCGAGAGAGGTGACCCCCCAGCCCCTCCCGGGGGGCCTGCCTGTATCTGGGGCTACTTGCCTGGGCCCTTGGCATCGTGCCGGGGGCCACTGGGATGGCAGAGGGGAGCCCGGGTGCCAGGGCTGGGTTGCAAAGGCCCCCCCAGTGCAGCCTGTCCCCCTCCCGCCCCATAGCTGCCCCATGGGGTGTGGGGGCAGCAGGGGGTCACAGCGTTTCCCCCCCTTTCTGCAGTGACCACGTGCAGGGACCCAGGAGATGTGGAGCACAGCCGCCGCCTGGTCTCCAGCACCAGGTTCCCAGTGGGCAGCACCATGCAGTTCGTGTGCGACAAGGGCTACATCCTGGCGGGCACCGCGCTCCTCACCTGCCACGACCGCCAGGCGGGCGGCCCCAAGTGGAGCGATCGCCTGCCCAAGTGCACCCGTAAGGCCATCCCCCGCTGGGGCCCTGGTGCCGCGCTCCCCCGGCCCCTCCTTGCCACCTGGTGGGGTCCGGGCCATGCTGGGGGGGGAGTACCCACAGCCTGGGGTGCCCTGACATCATGAGGCTATGGCAGATCCCCAGGGGAACTGGGCCAGGGTGTGGGCTTGGTCTCACCCAGCCCTTCTGCCCACAGCGGAGCTGTATGAGCCCTGCCACAACCCGGGCATCCCTGAGCACGGTGCTCAAGCCCCAGAGAAGAGGCTGTACCAGGCCGGGGCCACCCTGCGCTTCTCCTGCACTGCGGGCCACGTGCTGCTGGGGGAGGCGAGTCTGCGCTGCGTGCCCGGGCACCCCTCGCAGTGGAGCAGCTCCCCACCGCTCTGCAGGGCCGGTGAGTTTGTGCCGCGGCGGCTCTGTGCTGCTGTGGCCGCAACGGCTGGGACTAGCCAGGGGTGGGTGAAGCATTTGTCCAGGGTCAGGGCCGAAGCCCGGGGACCTGGTAGGCATATCACTGACCCTGGGATGCCCGGAGACCCCTGCCCGTCCCTGCACCCTGCTCCCATTAACACCCCTTCCTTTCCCCAGCCTCCTACGATGAGTTCTACAGCAATCGCAACCTGGACGGTAAGAGCCTGGGCGCTGGGCTGCCGGGGGCACGGGGATGGGTGCACCCTGCACCCCACGGGTCCCCTTGCCCCGAGGTTGCAGCCTGGCTCCTGGCTGCGTTGGGGGATGGGGTCGGGGAGCAGGGCCCAGAGCACTGAGCCAGCAGGTGATGGGGTTTCGGGGGGGCTGAGCCGACGGCTGTCCCGGGAGCTGGGGGAAGGCCCCCCAGGCAGGGTCCCCCGGGCCCTGCTGAGCTTCAGCCACCCACTGCCCTCACTGGTCACGCCGGGCCTCCGTGCCCGTGTCTCTCCCCAGCAGTCGCCAAGGCCATGCCTGCGGGGGCTGCGCTGGAGGGCACTAACGTCGCTGTCGCTGTTCTCCTGCCCGTGGTCGCAGTGGCATTGCTCCTGGGCGGCATTTGCCTCTACTTCTCCAGGTGAGCATCCGGCTGCCAGCTCAGCCGAGCACTGTCTGGGCCCAGTGCACCCTGCACCTGGATCTGCCAGGGCTTGGTCCTGCCCCATGGGCACAACCCAGCCCCAGCCCGCCCTGGGCCCATCAGTCCCCCGCTGCCCCCCCCGGGGCCATGCCTCTCCGCAGGCTCCAGGGGAAGCCGTCCCTGCAGCTGCCGCTCTCGGGGTCACACCCCTACGACCACATCACCGTGGAGTCGGCCTTTGACAACCCCACCTACGAGACCGGAGTAAGTGCTGAGTCCCGCCTGGGGCTGGG